TTTTATCTTTCACATAAAGAGCACAGAAAAATAATTTCTCAATAACAGACAATTGATTTTTAAATTTTCGGGTCGCAATCGCGTCTATAGTTACCGACAAAAATGTATAGCAAAATAAACGAAACAAAACGATCCATTTGCTATACCTAATAATAATAATATAATTCACAATGACAATAGTTCAATAAGTTATTTTTTAAAAAGTATCCAGACCTGAGTTGTTAACCCATTGGCTCGGTACTATGGATGTCGCAACCTATCGGCCTTGGTTCTATTACTAGGAGATGCTTAGTTAGTATAGACAGCTAGATATAAATTAAAATTACAAATCCAATGAAATGGTGCATCATTTAAGCCTGTAAGTCGATTCTAAGAGGAGATATTAAAATTTTAGTGGCTGATACCACCACAGACAAATTATAGTGGCAATGAACAAAACATGGATTCCGGGCTGCGGCCCAGTAAGATGAAATGACTGAATGTTTCCATGTAATGGCCATAACTATTTTGTTTCTGAATGAATCCCTGAGCAACCATACCATATATTGCTGGAATCGGAACAGTGAGACCTAACTGTAAATGCATGTCTCAAATACATACACTACAATATAGATGCATATCATATTGAGGGCTATTCTCTGAATAATGGCCACATATTATGGCGGCCAAAAACACACCCTGACAGGGCCTCAGTCACATGTAAATTGCGGACTTCCGGCGACTTAAATTGCAGACTTCCGGCGACTTAAATTGCGGACTATCGCCACCGCCGAGAGTATCTTTCGCGCCGCTACGCGCGGCACTGGGCTAAACTAGATGGCTGGGACTCATGAGCAGCAGCTTCCGCATCTCCTGCAGCTTTGCTCGTGAGAGATACTCTTGGCGGTGGCGGTAGTCGCCAGAAGTCCACAATTTACATGTGACTGAGGCCCTGTTTTTGGCCACCATATATGTGGCCATTACTCGGAGGATAGCCCATATTGTGTGTCCCGACAGGGCAAAATAAAATCAATAAAGAACATATAAATGTGAGTTGACGTGATCTTCTTCTTCTTTCTTCTTCTTGTTCACCGGCTGTGAATTCCGGCGGTAAGTCGCGTTTGTTCGTCCAAGTGGACTTTTGGCTTTTGCCTTGACCTGAGTTTTGCGTGTACATCGGTTTTACTGTCTTATTTGTTTGCAGTCCTCGTTCCCTGCCTCACCGGCAGATGTACTCCGATTTCGAGGGAAGACGTCACGCCTATTTCTAGGTTGACTGTGGCCATTGTTTTGTGTGGGTCGAGATGTTGCCTCATTTGTGTGGTGTCCTCTTTGGCCTTTAACAGGTGTGGCCCCTGGAAAATCCTCCTTAAGGCAGCCCTAAGTAGAATTGTCAGCCCTCAATGGAAGGCAGGGGCAGATCATGGGCATTCCCCGCCATCAAAGGAGGCTTCCATAAATGCAGAACCGACACATGATGCTCTGGTTCTGGGCTCACCCAAGGAATCGTCACGTCCTGACCATGACTGCTTAACCTCACAACCGTGTATTGAGCTTCCCGCGCTACAAGGCTGCGCTCTCCGGAGATCAGCGGGGGGTAGCCCGCAGGTCCAGGACTTTTGTGGCCACACAAATGGGTACATTCTTTTTTCATCATACGTTAGACACCTTTAACGTTGTTTCAACTGTGCCCCCTGGCACGACAGAATGGGGAAGCATCAAGCGTCAGGCGTGGCTTCGCCTGTTTGGTCTCAACCTCGGGCGAGTGGGAAGTGGATACGGACATTTGGACTTTTTCCTAATCGGTACGAATTATAATCGTCGGACTTTGAGCTTGCATGTGTGCCGTAGGATTTAACTTTGTCAGACATTATTTCCTAGCCAGCAGATTAAAAGTTGCTGCCGTGGTGTACCTCAGCGCGGATTGACAGAGGATGTACGTACGTAGGATCTTGCTGCGATAATTCACCCACAAGAGATGTTACCCATCTTGGCTGCGGGTAAATCTCTGGGTCAAGGGTTGAGTCTCAGCAGCACAGTTTTCCCTTCGCTCCAGACTTTTAACCGAGAGTTGTCATTTGATGGTACATTTGGCAAGCAATCCTTACTCATGTTCCGAATGAGTTTTGATAGACTTTTCACCCATGCGTTTGGGGGCGGGCTGATGAGAGCCAGAAAGGACACTACACCTCTAGGGGCCGCCAGCTCCGTGATCCCCTGCCAACTCTGTTAATGCTCATTTAAGACATTAACCGTGGCGCGCGACGGGGACGTGCAGCAGGAGTCTTGCATGAGGTTCTGTAAAACAGTAAAGGACTGGCGCCCGAGTGGGGTACGGAATATCTCCTTGTACACATCACATCAGACTTAACTTCCCCTCATGCCTGTGACCGAAATCACCGCGCCATTGACGTGATCTAATTAACATATTAAAAAAATGGCCATTACGGCTGCGTAGGGTATCCAGGTATTATTAATTTACTAAGCATCTAAAGTTAATTACCAAAGAACACTCTTAGAGAATGCGCAATGATGGCTGAAATTAATTATTGGGATTTGGGGGTGATCAGGAGAAAATACCTCCAACAGAAAATGCTATGAACTCAAAAAATGACAGATGCATGAACAAATGCTACAATGTTGATAGATTTTTAAAAAATAATTAAAATAACCTTATCTAATTTAATAAGTATTTTAAGTTAATTATTAAGCGGGCCAAACGGTCTTCTAATGCAGACATATTGGATTTGAAGCAAAAACAGTGATGCCACTGAAAAAGTTTTTGAACATTTGCTAACAGCCTATATTTTTGAAATTTCCTGTACTTATATAATATTAACGCAGAATTCAAAAATACACAAATTGCCTTAATCTGGCTAATTAAGAAAGTATTTATGAACTTAACAAATTCACTGCGTGCTGCAAAAAAAAAAGTCATTTTTCTTATGCGCGTCAAAACCATGTCATGTCAAAGCCTAGCATCTCTCCAATAACTCCTAATAATTTTTCCAATTTTATCTGAGTAAAGAGCATAGAAAAAATAATTTCTCAGTAACTGTCAATGCGGGCTCGTTTTCTTGGTCGCGATGGCATAATTAGAAATGAGAACAAAACAACATGGCATCTTAAAACTTCCAGTCGGAAACAACTCTACTATTTCCGTAAATCTGGGAGGTGGCGTTTTTGCCTGAACTCGGACCACAAGAAGTTCGTCACTCAGTGGCCTCTCACTCCGGTTTCCAACTGCGCTAGCGAGCCGGGCGTTACTATTTAATTATGTGCAAACTACTAAACGTTGAAAAAAAATTGCTGGGAAAAAGCACAACAGCCCAATCAATGCTGGGGTTAGTTCTCAGCTGCAAGGGCAACGTCCTATAGAGGATACCAAACTCAATAATAATGTGAAATAAATAGTACTGGGTAGTATTGGGTTAAAATACTAATTTAATTAGTAGATACTAAATTGCTGTTTAAGGCATATGATGTCGAGCATTATTAATAATACTTATATTAAAGAAGAAATTGTCTAAACGGGACAGTTACAGAAAATTCCTGTAAACTGATGGAACGTTTTGGTTGTTTGACCGCTCCTGACCTTTAGTCTCACTAAGTCTGGTTCCAGAACTTGGATTCTTCATAAACATCCATTTTGCAGATGAGACTTACTTGTGTGCAAACTGTTTGTTCCTTAACTGTCAGGCAGATGCGGTCAGACTTTAAAAAAAAACACTCCCTAATTAGTCTCATTCTACAACATGCTTGTTGGGTGAGCAGTGGGTCTATTCTTTGTTCTCCAGAATATAGCCCTGGAACCCACATGGGGAAAAGGAGTTAACAAATGTAATCCATGCTCATGTTAGCCAAGTAGAAACATATTCCCAACCTGGGTTCTTGAACCCCATGTTTGGGGAACAAAAGAATAGACCCGCTACCCCTTAACTAGCATGTCATAAGAGGTGACTAATTAAGGGTTTGCTGAAGTCAGATGCCTTTGTCATTACTGGTCCCACGCTGTGATGAGAAAGGAGGGTTGGGCACGGGGTCAGCTAACTGCCAGGACAATCTGGGGTAAGAGGGAATGAACAAGCAGATTGGCTTGCTGGCAGTGCTGTGGTAGATACAGGCAAGCAGTGGACCAGGCCGATGTTCTCACTGCTCTCAAGGAGGTAGGAATACTAGTTGATTTAAGAGAAGAGGTGAATTGGCGACCTTGACAAGACTGCAAGAACTTCATGTCAAAAGTTGGTGCCCAACACTATACAGGCTGCCAAAGATCATTGGTAAACCAACAAGGAACTTGTCATAAGTCACCACATGCTGTGGGAAATACTGAAGATTGGATCTGAGTGCTTATGGACTAGTCCATTGTGCACTAAATATGATCAGTCAATTAACTAACTCAACGCACTGTACAAATAAGCGTGCTACCGAAATTTGCATAACAAGAAGCCATTTCAGGACACTAGCCATCCAAGTGGTTTTCAGTTCATTTTGTATGTTTCTCGTGGCTGCTGATGAAAGGTGGTCTGTGGAACTCAGTAGTCAGACATGCATGCTGCTTGACGTGGGGGGGGGGAGGGGGGTGGAGGGCTTAGACTGTAAGCCTTATAACAGCAGAACAGGTTGATATTGATAAAATCATAGGTAAGGCCCAGAGATGCAGATATTGCAGCTTAGCTGAAAACCACACTACATGCCTACTACCATTTTAAGGGCGAACACAGAGAAGAAAAAGAAACATTGTTATCACTTCTTCTTCTTCTTCCTTTTTCTTTTACTTCCTTCTTCTTCTTCTTCTTCTTGACATGGTGTGGTTTACAGCTAGGCTGTAATTTCTGCATCTTTCAGCACAACACATTTCATTTCAGGAAACCCACTGTCAGACACTTTTTATGATAAGCTGGTAAGGGGCATTGGGTCTGTTCTTGTTTTCTAAAAAAAAAAATGGTGTCCCAAACCCATATGGGAATATAACTTATATTTAAATATTATTTGCTTTTTTTTTTTTTTTTTTTTTACAGGTGTTCTTTGGGATGGTAATGGTGTCATTCAGGGAAGTCTGGATGTGGTACTCAAATTAAAACAGATGGTAGGTCATTACAGCTTGGCAACGTGTTTGATCAATGCCTGACTTCGGTCGAGCAAATCTGTGTTATAAATTTTAATAAGTTATCATGTGACAGAACACGGAGATCAAGATCATTAACCCTTTCAACTGTTCCCTCCAGTATACTTATTGTTTGAGGATAGGACACATACAGAGAGAACCTTATAATAATATAACTAGACAATCTTTGCATTTGGGTCCCACAGTGTGAAAGACATAAACATGGAACAAACACACATGGAAAATGGAACTACACAGTGATGTTTACAAAGATAGGGAAGATGTGGGGGGTAGAGTGCATGTGATAGCAAAAGATCAGATGAGTCTGCATGAATTGTATGAGAGCCTATACTCCAGTGGGGAGAAGAGGGTGGGGGGTGGGGCATAGAGGGCAGACGTAAACATAGTTATTTTTAGAGTAGTGTCTTTTAATGTTGTCAGTAATTTTGCTGGTATTTTTTCTCCTTCTTTTAAGAGTGTTTTTTATTTCCAGTATTTACCATATAGATTCTGGGGCCCCACTGTGGGGTGAGTTTAGTTAAGTCAAGAATTAACATCACAGCACTCAGTGCATTCCCATCTGCCCTTCGTCACCATCCTCAGCAACCAGCGCAGGGTTCCATTACTAATGGTGCCGGTCATAGTCTAGGTGTATGTACGTCTTGCCTTTCATCTGAGTGTAGTGTGTCAGCTGAACCCTCTGGTAACACAGAGGGACATCATTCTCTCCAGCCCATAATAATCTAGTGTCTTTTCTGACTTCTTTACTTGCTCCTAAAGGGCTCTGACAACGTCTGCCTTGTCATGTATTAATTCACCTCCCAGTGGTGAAGATCCAGCCAATCTGTCTGCCTGTTCATTTCCCACCAGGCTAACATGCCTGAAGAAAAGTGTTGGGGTGAAAAAGTTTAGACCCTCAGCCTGCCCCCAACAAGCATGTCGTAAAAATTAACTAACTAGGGGTGTTTCTTTTTTTCTTTTTTGTTTACCAGCTGTAAGCTCTGGTGGAAAATCCTGTCTGTCTGTCTGTCTGTTCATCCATCTGGATTTTATGCCAGACCCTGAGTTTATCATCTACATGGGTTTTAGCGGCTTATTTGTCTACAGTTGGTTATTCTTTGCCGCTGGGGCAGATGCACTCTGACTTCAAAGAAAGCTCCCAATTAGTTGACTTCTACAACAGGCTTGTTAAGGAGGCAGCAGATCTATGCTTGTTTTCCCCACAATGGGGCCCCGGAACGTTCCTGCACTTGTTGGCACGGCACATGATGATGAATTATTGATTTCTTGTCCAGGTATCTATGCCATTATAGTAATGTTGACTAGACAAAACAATTAAAGGATTCTCATTTTCAATGTATTATTTATATTTCTAGACTTAAATATTCATTTTAGTTTATTGAAAATATTTATTTTATGCCCAAGAAAGAATGACACGTTCACACATGCAAACACACACACGCACACACTAAAGATCATTTGCATGCCTTTGGGTACATCGGGCATATAATGCTTGATCTATATTTTTATGGAACAATTGGCACTCGATGGGTGACTCTGGTACCTCCCCATCACGACTGGACACTGGTCAACTCCAGTTTACCACGGCAGTCTATGTAGAACATACAGTCACTCGTCCTTGTCAGCCTGTATGGCACATTGGATGTCCTCTGATACAACAGCCACTTCTTCTTTGTGTATAGTTTCATTTGCTCAGATCAGACCATCAGGTAGGTTGCCTCTGTAAACTCGAATGTCAGCTGCAGGTCCTCATGGTTCTCCATAGCTTGCTCTGTACACTTTGCTCTTGAGGCCAGGTTTCTTTTCTTAGTTGTAGCTAGAGTGAACAGGTCTGCAGAATGTGCTCAGGTGTTTGTGGTCCTGTTTCACAGGTACACTGTGGGGACTACAATTTTTATTTTATGCATGTGGTAGTTGAGCCTGCAGTATCTTGTTCGTAGACAGACAATTGTTGTGTGTTGCTTTCTGTTGAGTCTGCTGATGGAGTCTTGTGGATGTTTATGGTTAGTTTGTTCTCTCCACAATTCGTAATACTTTCCTTTGATAAGTGTTCTGATTTCTGGTAATGACAATAAATGAGCGTGTTGTTTCTCCTTTGTTCCATTTTTTGCTAACCTCAGCAGCAACTCCAAGGTACTTCCACTAATTGTTCCAGTGAGAGGTTGGTTATAAAGTCTTCTAACTCTGCCTCGAAGGTGGCATGGATGTGCTTCACCATGTTTTACTCCCATGTCACGCAATCTTGTTTTAGTGTCAGAGATTCGTCATTATCCACTAGCCTAGTCTGTTTAGCATTGATGATATCTGCTCACTCCATGCAGTCCATCCCACATGCATTGATACATTGCTTGCCAGTTGGTCCACTTGCTCATTACCCTTTACGTCAGCATGACCCAGTACTTTAGATTAGGCTAGAAAAGGCTGATACAAATTTGTATAATTCCACAGGGCAAGAAAGTTTTCTATGTGACAAACAATAGCTCATCCAGTCGCCAAGACTACGTAAAGAAATGCAAGGACTATGGTTTTCCGGCTGAACAGGTAAGCATAGTGTTTGGCTTATGTTGGCTACCTAATCCCTCAAACAAGAAAAAATAGCCACAGAAATCAACCAGCCAGGAAGTCCTTGTTTTTTTTTTCTTCTCCTCCTCCTCCTCCTTCTTCATCTTCTGCGCTTCTTCTTCAGCTTTCAACATTTGTTTTGTTTCTATTCCTTCTCTTTCCTTCTCTGTCCCTTTTTTTTAAGTGTTCACCAGCTGTATACTTCAGCAGAAAAGTTCTGGTTGTTCACCCACTTATGGGCTTTGGTCTTATTCCAGAACTTGAGTATTAAGTGCACATCCATTTTACAGGTCTGGCTTATTTGTATGCAGACTGTTGGTTCCTCACCTCTCAAACATATTCACTGTTAGTTCAAAGAAAATTTCCCTAATTAGTTGCCTTTGACTCTGTTGGCCGGATTTATTCTCTCTGACTGGCAAAGTCTGAACAATCCTCAAGACATACTCTATAACAATCATGAATGAATTAAGGAGATTTATTCTCTCTGACTGTCAAAGTCTGAACAATCCTCAAGACATACTTTATAACAATCATGAATGAATTAAGGAGATTTATTCTCTCTGACTGTCAAAGTCTGAACAATCCTCAAGACATACTTTATAACAATCATGAATGAATTAAGGAGATTTATTCTCTCTGACTGGCAAAGTCTGAACAATCCTCAAGACATACTTTATAACAATCATGAATGAATTAAGGAGATTTATTCTCTCTGACTGGCAAAGTCTGAACAATCCTTAAGACATACTCAATCGCAGTCATGAATAAATTAAGAGGAAAGAAATTATGCTGTCGTTGGTTAGAACCCACTATGAAATTTTGTTTATTACACCCACAGGAGCATAGGGATAAAGACAGAGCCAAAAAAACACATAAATATGAGAACTAGGGGTGGGGGGGGGGGAGGTTAAAAGGATGAAGAGGGCACAAGGTGAGCTGCATGCTTGTCATGAGAGATAGACTTTTGGCCACAATGAGCGACAGCCAGCTGACATCTGACTTTCTGCTGATTTCCCATTTCTGAAGGTTCGATCGCCCAGCTACTGAGTTGAATGCTTGGTGCAACACTGTGAACTGAATTTCATGCGAAATTTCTTTTTTGTGTGTATGTGTGCCCATGGCTTGTTGTTGACTGCCCTAAAATGACTGAAGGCTGATTTCGTTTGGAATTTCATGTACTTTTGCTGCTGCAATACTAGCTTTCACGATTAACAGTGAACTGCTGGGCTGGTATGGAACTGTTTGAAATGGCACATCTGACAGCTGCCTTATGCATTTTTACTTTCCCTGTGCAAGCTTAGGGATTTTATTGGGATGGCAAGTTTTCACTAGTTTTCAAATGGGATTTCCACTGGCACGGGCAGAGCATTTATGGGGAGACCTATCTGCAGTGTTGAAATAACATCAACTAATGACCAGTGAACTTTGGTGAGTTGGTTGAGGACCCCTGCTTCATCTGGGGATACAGTCCAGAAAAGGAAGAAGAAAATATTTCCTATAATGAGTCTTTTAATTTGTGCAGTTGTGTTTTTGATAAATTCTCGGTAACTGCTTATCCTGGAAACTTAATTTTTATTTTGCACTGGCTCCTATTTTCATGTTGACCCCATTAATAATAAATAATATTAAGACTGCCCGTGTGTATCAAAATCTGGGTAAAATGTGGCTTTTCTGCCCACCCCCAGGCGTCAACCCAGACCACAAGGAGCTCAACACCAGGTGGCAGCGCAATCAGGTTTAACCAACTGAGCTAGTGAGCTGGGCACACTAATAGATAAACGCATGATAGTCTAGGCATTGTATGTTGTCATATACTGGGCAATTGGGTAAACAAAGTATCTCAGTGGAAAGAATGTTACCCAGGGATACTGGATAGAGCTGAGCTAAAGATCACAGACTGAAAAGAGGAAGGTTTTGGATGGTGCAAGCTGAAGAAACGATTTGACATGTGTGCAAGCTTGATTAATTTGGGTGTGGAGAGAAGTGAGTCAAAGTGTCTGAGGAAGTTTCAAACATGTAGGGTTCTTATCACTTTAGGTCATGAGCGCAAGGACTGGCCAGCTGGTGCTGCAAAATTAGAGATTCAACAAATGATTCATGACAATTCCCACCCAGGATTATCTGGGCAGACGACTCTGTATTGAGGGTCAGATGAAGTGCATGGGGTTCAAAGCAAAGGCAAATGGACATCACTTAGAGTCACACAAAAAACCTGGCATATGAAATCATGTCAAGTTTAAGAATAGAGTTGAGGCAGTCACTGCGCCCTTCCGCTGTTTTGAGAATCAGCTGTACACACATTCCGTGATTGTTACTGACTCGTTGAGAAAGGTGGAGACAGGCATGCTTCGTGCAGTTAGGTAGTCAACGTCCTTGGGATATTTTCTCCAGTTCATGCCGGTATGTTAAGAAAGGAGCAGGCAGATACGACTGAATTAATGTATGACAAGCTAAACGTTGTGAGGACCCTTTGGGAGTGAGTGAACAGTGCAGAGGCACAAATAGAACATTATGGTCTGAGGAGGAGGGCGCTGCAAGAAGTTACCAGGGGATTTGGCCGATTGTCAACATTCAATGTAAACCAGATCGACCATTTCATGGTAAACAGAAAATGGCGTGGGTCCCTACTCGATGTGCGTGTCAAAAGGGGAGCAGATGTGGGAAGCGATCATCACCTTGTAGTCGCTCTACTACGACTTAAACTCAAAAAAGTTTACACGCAAGTTAAGACCCAGACAGCACGTTACAATGTTAACCTTTTAAGAGAAAAAGACATTGCCACTAAATTTATAGTAGAACTCAAGAATAGATTTCAAACCCTATCAAGTGACCCAGAAACTCCAACTACAATCAGCATTCAAGACAGATGGAACCAGATCAAAGAAACATATAAATCAACTAGCAATAATATATTAGGAACCAGGAAACAACACCACAAAGAATGGAGAAGTAGTCAAAACCATGGACTATATTGCCAAGCGAAAAAGAATAAAGAGCCTCATAAATCACACTAAATCAGAACGTCAGAAAGACAAACTAATGTTAGAATATAGCGAACTAAATAAAATGACCAAGAAAGGTGCCAGAGCTGACAAGAGAAGATTTATGGAAAATTTTGCAGAAACAGCAGAAAATGCTGCTAAAGCACATGATCTACAAACCCTACACAAAATTACCCAGCAAATTTGCGGAAACAGAAACAATTATCACAGCATACCCATCGGAGATAACCAAGGCAGACTGCTCACCACAGAACAAAAACAAGACATGCAGTGGACTAAACACTTCTCTGACCTCTTGAACAGACCTGATCCTGAAAATCCCCCAGATATTCAACCAGCCTCTCAGGACATTGACATTATTACTGAACCACCAAGCAAACAAGAAATCCTTAAAGCTATCCACACTTTAAAGAACAACAAAGCACCAGGCAAAGACGAACTGCCAGCAGAACTTCTCAAAGTAGATCCCAACACAACTGCTAGCATTCTAGAACCATTGTTCAAGGATATTTTGGGAAAAGAAGTGTTGCCTGATGACTGGACTGAAGGAACAATAGTCAAAATCCCCAAAAAAGGAGACTTAACAGACTGCAATAATTTAAGGGGAATTACTCTACTCTCAGTACCAAGCAAAATATTTGTAAAATCATCATAATGCGGCTTGAAAAAGGAGTAGATAAATGCCTACGAGTGGAACAAGCAGGATTCAGAAAGGGCAGAGGAACAACTGAGCACATCTTCGCCATACGTAACATTTTAGAACAATGCAACGAATGGCAGAGAAGTATATATATATTAATTTTGTGGACTTTGAGAAAGCTTTTGACAGCGTCCATAGAGACGGTCTATGGAAAATTTTACGACATATGGAATTCCAGAAAAAATAGTCAACATAATTGCTCTCTTCTATAAAGACTTTTCCTGCAGTATAAAAAATTACAATACATCTTTCCCAGTAAAGACGGGTGTAAGACATGGATGTGTTATGTCATCTCTCCTCTTCAACCTTGTGATTGATTGGAGACTAAAGAACGCAGTAGACAGGACATTAAGAGGCATACAATGGACTCCATTCACCATGCTTGAGGACCTTGATTTTGCAGATGATATAGCACTCCTATCACATAAACATGAACATATACAAGAGAAAAGTAACAGACTAAACTGCACAGCAGAAATGGTGGGACTGAGAATAAATACAAAGAAAACTAAGATCATGACAAACAGTCCAAACCAACAACCAGTGACCAGAAGTAACCAATCACTTGAAAATATAGAACATTTCACATATCTTGGCAGTGTGGTGTCCCTACTGGGAGGGACAGAGGAAGACATACAGTCACGTCTGAACAAAGCTAGAGCTGCTTTTGGAGGGATGAGGCAAATCTGGAAATCCAACAATTACTGCAGAGGAATGAAACTCTGACTCTACAAGAGCATCATTTTGCCAGTTCTTCTTTTGGGAGCGGAATGCTGGAGAATGACCAAAAAGGATGCACATAAGCTGTCTACCTTCCACCACACATGTCTAGGTAGAATTATCAAAATTTTCTGGCCAGATACAATCTCAAACACTAAACTACTTCAAGCCACAAACCAAGAAACTTCAGACAGTATGATTACCAAGAGAAGATGGAAATGGCTTGGCCATGTTATGAGAATGACTTCTGATATACCTGCCAAAACAGCTCTCACATGGACACCAGAGGGAAAGAGAAAACAGGGGCGCCCAAAAACAACATGGAGACGAACGATGGAAAGTGACCTGAGTGCGGCATCTTTGACATGGAAAACTGCACTGAAGATTGCACAGGACAAGAAAGCATGGAAAGTCCTCTCTAAAGCCTCATGTGCCACTAGGCATAACGAGAACTGATGACTGATGATCAACACTCAGGGGAAGGGCGAGATGAATATACAATCAGAGAGTTACTGGTACCTTTGGAATTAGAACTCTTTGCTTGCTGCTGAAGATGGGGACGGAGCACAAATGGGAGTATCTCGAGGGCTTTGATATCAATTCTTAATTCAGCATAGTTAACGATTTACTGAAACTCAACAGTATCACCATGTAGCAAGCTATCAAGAGCGCAATGTCCTGGAAACTAATCACTGGCCGTGCCTCTCATGCCTAGCAGGATTAAGCAGAGAAAAACAGTGGAATAGAATCGTGAAACCACCACTCCCATTGGTACAATTCCTCTGAAGAGCCGCTTTCTTTACCCACTAGTGAGATGTTTACATGTTTTGGATTATAACTAGATTTGTTGCCATTTGTGAATGTGTGTGGCCTGTAAAATAATTGTTTTCCTAAAGATTTTTCCTGAATTTCTAAAAAAATAGAAAGTAGGGGAGCTTGGCTTTGTTTTTCTAGGTCACCAGGGTGAAAGAATTAATGAGTGACCCATCTTGTTGTAGGACGATATTGTATGCACAGCATTTATTGCTGCCCAGTATCTGCACAGCATCAACTTCAAAGACAAAGTTTACCTCATTGGCAAAGAAGAGTCCATTGGACGTGAGCTGGATCTTGTGGGCATCAGATATTTTGGTCCTGGGGTAAGTTTATTTTAGATTTCTGTTAACTCTTGTCTTAGACAAGCTGTTGAAGTCACAAGAAGAGATCAAATTAAAAATGAAGAAATTATGAAAAGTCTAGGGTTGAAACCAGGCATACAGTTCCTTAAAAAGCAACAAGTGAGATGATTTGGTCATTTAGCAAGGATGCCCTGATACCAGCTGCTACAGAGAACCTTCTTCAGCATTCCGAGCCTTTGAGGTTCATTTCTGCAGATATCACCTACCTCCATTTATCTCTGTGCTTGACCTTCTCTTTCCAGTTGGTGACCTCAAGTGTTAATAGCTCTGCCTGTTTATTGTCTCTCCATTGTCTTCTTGGTCTGCCTCATGGTCTACTCTCATTCAGCTGTTTTGTTTACACATTTTTTCATCTCTCTGTTATCTGCAACATTTCTTTGCCAGTTGAGACAAGAAAGAGAATTCTCAGAAGATATACCCAAATCCTATCCTAATGTACAGAACTGAATCATGAACAGTAGGGTGATTGGGGGGAATAAAATAAATGCCAAATACACCTCATTATGTATATAAGGATTCTTGGTGCTTTATTAATATTCTACCCCAAACAGGTGAAATCCACAGGTCACAGGACAGTCTTAATATTTCAGGGGGTGGTAGATAGGCTTCATGCATCCGTGAGACCTAGGCTGCTCTCTCCTGTGGGACATAGGTGAGTTGGGGTTAGGGCTAGCTAGGTGTTTTGGGGTCGTTAAAAGCATCAGAAAGCCGGGAAACCCAGTCTTACCACCCTCTAAAATGTTGGACTGTTCTTTGACGTCATCTGGGTTAGGATATCACAAAAGAACCGGATCCTTTTTTTAGAACACACAACACATGAATAGATAATGTGTGGATGGAAAGTTGTAACACCATATATTCTCAATCTCCTTCAAGCCTGATGTTTTATCTGGGGGGCTGAAAGATTGGCTGGCTATGAAACTAGACCCAGAGGTATAATTTGTATCTATGCAGATTATTTTGTTTTGACTTCAGCTGTTATTTTATCTTCGCTTCAGCTATTAATTTATCTTCGCTTCAGCTGTTATTTTAACTTCACTTCAGAAGTTATTCGATCTTCATTATGGAAGTTATTTTATCATCACTTCAGCTGTTATTTTATATTCCCTCCTGGTTCTAAACTTGTGTAATGTTTTTATTTAGATGACTGATTAGCTGCTTTTTGGAAAATGCTGATGTTTGTTTAATATTTTATGTGTTTAGTATTTAATATCAGGAAACTTCAATAGTGTAGTGGCTAAATAAAAGAAAGCTTCAGGTGAAAACCTTAAATTCCTAATGATAGAAATAACAAAAAGATGCCATTGTCTTGCATTGCATCATATTGATGGTAAGGATGACAGGAATGTTAAGCACATGGCATCGTGGTGCAAATGAGCACAGTGACATCATAATGACAGTTTAACAATGGCCACCCCACTTTTGGCATGCACTAAAGTTTTTATTTGAAGTCCCCTCATATTTCCATATTTGCCAGCTGGCCCAGTGATAATGCATTTCAATCTACATCATGGCAGACTGTTGAAAATGTGCCTGGTCTTCCAGGTCAACTTGAGCTTTACTGCCCATGTGGGTTCAGGACAGCTTGGGGGGAGGGGGAGAGAGACAGTGATGCCACAGAAAGTGACTGATTTTGCTGTAATGGGATGTGTAAAGCTAAAAGGGGAAGCTGTCACAGCTTATCTGTAAACCACAACACAGCAAGGCAAACATAGGAGAAGAAGAAGCCTAACATGGGTACCAGAAAATGTTATTTTTGTTTCACAGTTTTTGTTACTGCTGTCAGTTCACATGTTGTTTTTGTTTCACAGTTTTTGTTACTGTTATCAGTTCACATGTTATTTTTGTTTCACAGTTTTTGTTACTGTTATCTGTTTCACATGTTATTTTTGTTCCACAGTTTTTGTTACTGTTATCTGTTTCACATGTTATTTTTTCTGGAATGGCTGTAGCCGGATCCTCTTGTAGGTGACAGTTACAAAGAGTGGCTGAAAGACATTCACTTAGATCCAGAGGTAACAGAAGTCTTTTGTTTGTAAACATAACTGTATAAAATAAAAAAAGAGGGCTGCATGGTCTTGAGGCATGGTGCCTGTCTCAAGTGCTAGAGGTTACAGGCTCATTACCCTGTAAGGGCTGGATTTTTTCACGTAGACTTGGACTTCTAGTAATTTCCCCTGGTCTCTGGGTAGTGAGATCGGACGCCAGTGTGCATTGTTGTGCACATACAAAAATCCCTTGGCAGTTGGAAATGGAAAAGAGTAGCCTATGGGCGCTACCCGGGTAAAATTTGGAGTAAAAAATGTACACAAAGCATTTCATGACCCTCGCTGGTGCTACAGAGCCTGCACACTGTGCTGAGCTTCTTCAGACTTAGACTTGAGTTAGAAGAACAGAGCACTTATAAGTTACACCTGTGTGCCATGATGTTGATCTGTTGTTCAAAACCTCAAAAAAAGGACCCTTTTAAACACAGGCAGGCGTATTAGGCATATATGGCTAGACCTATATTTTATAGACCAATCGGCACTCAGTGGGTGATGTAGTCAGCATCACACCAGCCACATTTACTTCCCAGGACTATACCTGGAATCCATTTAAGGCTGGGTTTACCTCGGAGCCAAGGTCATTTTTTGTTTAAAGTCCGGCCCTGTCAGGACCCAAACCCACGACCTTTTGATGTGCAGGTGAGCGTCTAGCTGCTACACCCTGGTGGCCCTGATGTGTATGAAGTATATGCTGATAATGTTTGTATTGTTTTTGTAGTGAAGTCAGGTTTTATGTTTCATTCCCATTATAGTAGAAGAGGAAAGACTGAACAAAGCTGTTAGGTAGCTCTACACCCCAGGATAGACCAGGAAAGACAAGAGTATGAAATATCTATACACTCCAGGGTAGAATGGGAAAGTCTAGACTGAAATACCCATACACTCATGGGTAGAATTGGAAAGTCTAGACTGAATTACCCATACACTCCAGGGTAGAACAGGAAAGTCTAGACTGTAATTACCCATACACCCCAGGGTAGAACAGGAAAGTCTAGACTGAATTACCCATACACTCCAGGGTAGAACAGGAAAGTCTAGACTGTAATTACCCATACACTCCAGGGTAGAACAGGAAAGTCTAGACTGAATTACCCATACACTCCAGGGTAGAACAGAAGTCTAGACTGTAATTACCCATACACTCCAGGGTAGAACAGGAAAGTCTAGACTGAATTACCCATACACTCCAGGGTAGAACAGGAAAGTCTAGACTGTAATTACCCATACACTCCAGGGTAGAACAGGAAAGTCTAGACTGAATTACCCATACACTCCAGGGTAGAACAGGAAAGTCTAGACTGTAATTAATTACCCATACACTCTAGGGTAGAACAGGAAAGTCTAGACTGAATTACCCATACACTCCAGGGTAGAACAGGAAAGTCTAGACTGAATTACCCATACACTCCAGGGTAGAACAGGAAAGTCTAGACTGTAATTACCCATACACTCCAGGGTAGAACAGGAAAGTCTAGACTGTAATTACCCATACACTCCAGGGTAGAACAGGAAAGTCTAGACCATAAAATACTGATGCACTCATGGTTAGAATAGAAAAGTCTAGACCGTAAAATACTGATGCACTCATGGGTAGAATAGAAATGTCTAGACCGTAAAATACTGATGCACTCATGGGTAGAATAGAAAAGTCTAGACCGTAAAATACTGATGCACTCATGGGTAGAATAGAAAAGTCTAGACCATAAAAAACCTGTACACTTGTGTGTAGAATAGGAAAGTCTAGACTGAAATACCTCTACACCCCAGGATAGAATAGGAAAGCCTAGACTGAAAAACACATACACTCATGGGTAGAATAAGAAAGTCTAGATGGAAATACCTCTGCACTGCAGAGTTGAATGGGAAAGTCTAGACCATCTCTCTAACTTTATTCTCCAGCTCTCTTTTCCATGTGTTTTTTGGCCTTCCTTTATTCCTATGCCCCTGTGGGTTCCAATGCAAAGAAATTCTAGTTATGCTGTTCTCCTGTTTTATCAGTGTGTGTCCTATCCAACGCCAGTGTCTTTTCCTCACCTCTTGGTCTACTGGATCCTGTTTAGTTCTCTCCCAAAGCTTTAGTTATTCTATCATACCATTTAATTCCCTCTATTCTGCACAGGCACCAGTTAAAGAATGTCTGTAATTTATTAGTAATTGCCTTAATTGTTCTCCATGTTTCCGCCCTATACAAAAGTACTCATTTGACATTAGAATTAAAAACTTTTAGTTTTTTTCTTTAAATTTTTTTTTACCTCTATAAATTCCCTAGTGCAGTGAAACTACTCTTGCCTTTTGTATTCTTATTTTAATATCTTTATCCGTTCCTCCATCTTTATCTACATTACTGCCCAAATAGGTGTATGACTCCACATCTTGGAGTGGGGTACCATTAAGAGAAACAACATTACTATTTGCCTGATTTATTCTCATTATCTTTGTCTTTCCTTTATGGATTTTCAGACAATCTGCTGTGATCTCGCAACAAGTATATTCATTTTATCTTGCATCTGATTCCGTGGATGGGACAAAAGAGAAATATCATCAGCGGAGTACAGATCATCAAGCTGTTTTGTAGGGGTCCAAAATTCTATTCTTAAGGGTTAGCAGTTACTGTTTTATAATCCAGTTTATAGCCAGTAAAAATAAAAGAGGCGACAAAAGACATCCCTGCCGCACACCTGTTTTTATTTCAAATGTATCTATTAGCTTTCCCTCATGAAGAACTCGACATTTCATGTCTTTATATGTTGCCTTTACTAAGTTAATAATTTTCTGTGGGATTCCATAGTGTCCCATCAATTTCCAGAGAGATTCCCTGTCAATGCTGTCAAATGCTTTTTCATAGTCTATAAATCCAATGTAAAGTGGTGAGTTCAGTTCAATGCTCTGCTCTATTATAAAACATAATGTGGCTATCTGGTCAGTACAGGAGCTGTTAGCCTAAAAACCTGCCTGTTCATCTCTTAGCTTTTTAATCAATCTTTTTCCAAAATAATTCTACTTAATATTTTTCCAGGAACTGACAGCAACATAATTCCTCTATAGTTTTCACACTCCTGTAGATCACCTTTCACAAGATAGGATTGTCACTAGTGATACGATATTCATACTTTGTGCTACGCTATCAGTAAGCTGCCATCACTTGTGTGGAGAAAGAGCTGTGTGCCATGATGTTGATCCGTTGAGTAAACATAAACAACATCATTGTTGACATTTGATTTCAGGTCAAGTGTGTACTTGTGGGATTTGATGCCCACATTAGCTTTATGAAGATCATGAAAGCCGCCAGCTACCTGAGGAATCCTGATTGTTTGTATGTGGCTACAAATGAGGATGGGTCTTTGCCAGCTAAAGAGTCCAGTATTTGTATACCAGGTAAGATGGTAGCTATTTGTGTCAATAAAAATGGACCGTAAGAGGCCAAATATTCCAGAACAGTGGAACCTTTGGATATAAATTTTTCAGGACCCGATGTCAAGTTGACCAATTTGGGGGGGGGGGGGGGGGGGGGGGGGGGCAGAATACAAGACAAAATCCAGGATGCCTGTTTGTGAGACAAGAACTTTCGGCGTTACCTGATATCATCTTGAAAATGTTTTGAAGGTTTAGGACACACTGACATGACTGATTCTCCATAGCTCTTTGTTGTGATATGGCAGTTTGTTTGCATGTGGGGCTGATACTCACTGTTGGAGGTCGCACATTGTCAAAAGTATGATTGCCTATGCCAGCCGAAACAAAAAATGCTCTTTTGTTCTTTTGTTTTCTTTGTCCAGCATCTGAGTGTTTCCCAATGCTTGTTATCTTGCTGTGTTCAGTTCACATGGTTTTCTAGTCACTCCTTCATAAAAATGATTTTTGGAGGGCCGGAACGAACTAAAACTATTTACAGTATTGGAGGATCTGGGCCAGGGATAAATCTTGGAGGATCTGGGCCAGGAATAAATCTTGGAGGATCTGGGCCAGGGATAAGTCTTGGAGGATCTGGGCCAGGGGTAAATCTTGGAGGATCTGGGCCAGGAATAAATCTTGGAGGATCTGGGCCAGGAATAAATCTTGGAGGATCTGGGCCAGGGGTAAATCTTGGAGGATCTGGGCCAGGGATAAGTCTTGGAGGATCTGAGACAGGGATAAATCTTGGAGGATCTGGGCCAGGGATAAGTCTTGGAGGATCTGGGCCAGGGATAAATCTTGGAGGATCTGGGCCAGGAATAAATCTTGGAGGATCTGGGCCAGGGGTAAATCTTGGAGGATCTGGGCCAGGGATGAATCTTGGAGGATCTGGGCCAGGGATGAATCTTGGAGGATCTGGTCCAGGGATAAATCTTGGAGGATCTGGGCCAGGGATAAATCTTGGAGGATCTGGGCCAGGGATAAGTCTTGGAGGATCTGAGACAGGGATAAATCTTGGACAGTGAAAGATTCCTGGTTATGTGTTAACAACTTGGCATTAAGTGGCAGGACAAAATCACAAATACTGAGATACTGGAAAGAACAGGTACTACAACAGTCTTCTCAATGCTCAGTCTACGAAGGCTAAGGTGGCTGGGTCACACATGGAGATTGAAAGACAGTAAAGTCCCTAAGGACATCCTTTATTGTGAAATAAAGACGGGTAGAAGATATCGAGGCCGACCTCCACTACGGTATAAGATGTGTGCTAGCGGGACATCAATGCGGCAGGTATTGAGGTGGACTCATGGAAACAAAATGCCATGGACCATATTGTGTGGAGAGGGCATATCAGAAAGGGAATGAGACTGAAGGAAGAAATGATTGCAGAAAGAATGAGAGCTGAGCAGATTAAACACAAATGTTGTGAACAATGGTCCTGGAATCCCATGCTATAACTGTGGAAGACAACTAATGGAAATAAACATTTTCACAGATGTCAAAAGTAGTAAAGTTACGGACCCATTTTCCTAGCTATAGTTCATATGTGGTTATGTCCCTGTTTTTAGCTATACATTAATGTGTCTGTCCCTGCAACTGTTGAAAACTCTCCACCCACAGGTACAGGCTGTATGGTACTTCCTGTGACCGTTGCTTCAGAAAGGAATCCAATTCTGATGGGAAAGCCAGCCACCAATATGTTTGATGTTCTTCAGAAAGTCCACAGCTTGGACCCAGCTCGATGTATGATGACAGGTGACAGGTGAGCAAGTTACAAGCTGTTCATTGATGACAATAAAACTCAACTACATTTAACCGAAAAGCAGTGGCAAACTACTGGACGTAAATTTGCCTTGATAAACCACAACAGCCAAAAAATTCTGTGGCTGGTTTTGCAATGTACTGTAAAGGATACTCAACTAACTAACATTTAACCATGTGCCATCAGAGGGAAGATATTTTGTAGTCTGTGTTTATTTGTACCTGAAAAGGGCTCGTGCAGTGTTGATATGATTGACCAGACCCTATCATCTTTTGACAGGCGACTGAGTAGCCCATTGGCTGCCCGGTCACCAATACCTGCTGGTGAGCAAGTTACAGCTCTATGAGTTATAAGTTATCTTCATGGCACTTCAGAAATGAGATGCTCTGATTTCCCCTTTCAACATATACATTGTTGTCCCACAGTTAATAGTGCCATTTCTATGCTGGTTTATAAGGCTTCTTGTATGCTAGTCCGAGTTTGCCAGTTTGCATCTTCTTAAGCATGCTCATCGAGTCTGTGGCTATCATTTGCTTATTGGAAAGCTGCAATCATCAGATTCATTGAGAAACAAAGAGGAAATGGTTTGACCACCTAATGAGAACAATTCAACAATGCCAGCAGTGAGAGCGTACAGCAGTGAGAGCGTACAGCAAGAAAATGAAAACTTGAGAGGCAGAGAGAGACCAAGGAGAGGATAGATTCAAGTCAAAGATTTCACTGCGTCGCAGCACACCGAGCAGTCGACCATCCTGTAGCTTGGCTGTCTATCATACATTAAACTGCGGCACAAAGCAGGAATTGACAAAACAAACAAACAAAAAATAACAAATCTTTATGTATAATTATCACTCATCAACATCATCATCAGTTTCCACTTCTGCCATTAAGTGTTGTGAGGAGGAACATTTTGTGATCAGTTGCTTGATGGGCAGCAATGGCAACTGTCATTCCGTGTCCATGTCATCAATCAATCTTCTCCTAGGACGGCTTTTTACTTTCACTTCAGATCCTTTTATGTGTAGTGCCTGCATTGGTAGTTGTTCTGGCTGCATTCTTACTAAATGACCAAACCATTTAATCTTCTGTTTCTCAGTGAATTTGCTGCATAGTGTTGTTCCTACAGTGTGTCTGATATCATTTCTTACTTTGTCTCAGATGGTTCAGCTGGTGGCTTTTTTCAGGCATCTCATTTCACAGATGTTAATTTTACCTAGGTTAGTCATTAAAAATGTCCAAGACTGGCACTGTATAATAATGATCACTTCTTCTTCTTATCTTCTCTTTCACCTTGTACCTCATTGAAGTGTCAGGGGGAGATGTAACAATCGTTGGTGAGCTCTGTCAAGAGCACTTTTAAGACTGGTGTTCATTTCTGTAAGGCTGTTCTTAATGCCATCACTCCATTTTTCCGAGGTCTTCCACTCACTCTACTATACCCGTTGTAACATTTGAGTGTGGCTCCCTGTGGCAGATAGTACCAGGGCATTCTTGTTAGGTGTCCAAACCACTTCGTTTGTTGTTCTTTGATGACCTGTAAGACTGGCTTTATTCTTAGCATTCGCCTAATTTCATGATTTTGAATTATGTCTTTCCTTGAAACTTCTGCAGCTCTTCTAAAGCATTTAATCTCTCTTGTAACAATTTAAATGTTCGTTTGAGGATGTAAGTGTCCACATTTGGCTCTGATACCATAGTGTAGGCCAAAAAAAATAGTTCTGATAAGATTCACTTTAGTACTCCTGGGTATCTGCTTGTGTGTCAACAGGGAAGATAGTTCCCCATTACTTTATTAGCTTTGGCACATCTCGAGCTTATTTCTCTGTCCAGTTTTCGGTCGGATGTGACAGTTTTTCCCAAATACTGTCTAAAAACAGATCTTGTAACCTTTCTATGATCTTTTCACAGAATTTCTACAGACATAGTCTTTGCCAAGAAATGTGGCATACGCTCGCTGCTTGTGCTGTCAGGGATCTCCACCATCAGCGATATCTACCACGCCGGACAGAACCCTCCGAAGCACGAGGACCTTCAAGACCAACCAGATTGCTATGCTGAGAATTTAGCAGAGTTTGGCAAATATATATGAAATAACAGCTAGGAAAATTATTTTAAAGAAATGTTTCCATCTTTGTAAATTTGAACAAAAAAGGAGACGCACACACACACACACACACACTTACACACACACACACACACTGCGGCGTGATGTTGACCACATGACTCACTGAGTGCTGATTGGTCAGTATTAATATTAAAGTAAAGTGAAATAGAGGTCCCTTTTTTATAGGCCAAACGGCCGTCATTGGGTGATGTCACCATCATGCCCGGCCGCCTTTACCTCCCAGGACTACCTGCTACCTAGTACTCATTTATGGCTGGCTTAACCTGGGAGCCATAGGCACATAAGAAAAAAAAATCTGGCACCATGCCGATTCGAACCTATGAACTTCAGATCAACTGGCAAGCGTCTGGCCACTACACCACGGTGGCACCCTGTATAAACATTGAGTCTAGCCTAATATACCTGGTATGACACTGACGTAAAGCGGGTCCTATGATTATTTGTATTCCGCTGTTTTTAATCAAGTGTATACTATGGAAACGGAAGTTGCCGTGGCGTAGCAGCTAGACGCTTGCATGCGGATTGGAAGCTGGTGGGTTCGCTCCCTGGCGGAGCCGACTTGTTAAAAAAAATTACCTTGACTCTCAGGTCGACCCAGCCTTAAGTGGGTTCGGGGTGCAGTCTTGTGCCGATGGGTCTATAAAAATATAGGTCTAGCCTTATATGCCCAATATGCCTAAAGGCGGGGAAAAGGGACTTTTACTTTTTTCAAATATTACAGAAAGAGGTTAAATAAGATGACGTAAAGAAATGAATCCTTCTAAATCTTCTTCTTCTTTGTGTTCACTGGCTGTAAAAAGTTCTGGTTGCTTGTCCACTTATGGACCTTGGTCTTTTTCTAGAACTAGAACATTTGTTTTACAGATCTAACTTATTTGCATGCAGATTGTTGGTTCCTTTTCTCTCAGGTGGATGCACTCTGAAGTGCTAAGAAGAAGAATACATTGAAATGATTTTCTCCTCGACTTACAACCAAGTTCCTTTCTGACTGACCTTTATGAAAAGTGTTAACAAATATAAATTTGGATTATATCCAGTTTGACTGACAGACGGTTATAGAAATTGTATATTTAAAAAAAAAAAAAGGTTCAGTCTAAATACATTTAATTAATTCTTCTTTGCCTTCACCATCTATAACTCAGGCGGAAAGTTCTGGTTGTTCGTCCACTTTTGGACTCTAGTCCTGTTTCAGAAACTGAGTGTTGCGTAAATTGTGCAGTGTGTTTTTTGTGTGTGCCTTTTTTGGGTTCAGATATGTTGTTTTAATTGATGAGCTAGCATGCATGTTGATGCAGGACATCTTACAGCCTGCAGGGTGTTTCTCTCAGTATTGATATCAGAAGGGTGCAACACCTAATGTTAGTCTCCCAGGCCCCGCCCATATACACATTAGCTCACTTCTGATTGGTAGTTCCTAAACCTGTCAACTTGGCACAAGGTTACGGGGGTGTTCCGCAATGCCGTTGATATCGCATGTTGTATATTTGAGCACACTAGCGCTTTTAACCCTCCAAAAACTTGGAGAAACTGACCCTAACACAATCACCCTAGTGAGTGCTGCAACCTAGTCACAGGCATTCTCCTTCTTAGAATGAAAATGTAAATGCAAGACAACGCAGAAAGCAAATATCAGAACGGGACACACCCGTAACCTTCATGACAGTCGACCAGCCCCAAAAACTTGTGAATGAAAAGTGAAAACTTGGGGGAGATTAACATTACTTTAACCCAAAAGGGCTTTTAATCAGTCGCCTCTGCCCCCCCCCCCCCCCCCCCCCTCCCCCCTCCCCAATCCATTGTCACATCTGATATGTCTTGTATTCACGATTTTTCTACCCCTGCCTCTTCATCCAAAACATGTGCTGTCCAAACTGCTCCTTTAGAGTGACTGGGAAATTTTTTTGCGTGGCTGTGTTTGATTTAAAAGAACTATTGGCATATTGTGTTATGGTTTACAGCCAGACTGCGATATCTTCTCCTTTTGGCCCAACACTTTCCATTTCAGCCAACTCTTAATTATTCACTTGCTCGTTAGGACACAGTGGGTCTATTTTCTCTCTCTCTCTCTCTCTCTCTTAGTAACCTCTCGCCCACCTCATTTTCTCCCCCAATAAGTGGCAGTAAGTAAAGGACCCTTTTCCACGCCTTAGGCGTATAGGGCTAGACCTAAATTTTATAGACCAATCAGCACAAGATGGTTGATGTGGTCAGCATCAAGTGGCCGCTTTTACTTCCCGAGGCTGTACCCGGTACGCACTCAAGGCTGGGTCAATCTGGAAGCCAAGGTCATTTGTGAAAAAAAGTCCCGACTCTGTCGGGGAGCGAATCCATGACCTTCCGATCCGCAGGCGAGCGTCTAGCCACTCTGCCACAGCGACTCCCTAGTGGTAGTGGTTCTATCTCAAATACTCCCCTCCCGGTCCTCAAATGGAGCTCTGGAACCCAAATGGGAACTGTGATATTTAATATGGTCAAGTATTTCAGTTTCAGAAAAGGGAAACAGAATGATTAATCTCAGTTATTTTGCCCCCGATTTATGCCTGTGGAGTTAGAAGCACATGCCACACTGTAAAGACACTGCTCTTGCTCTAAATTTGTCTGCTTTGAACATGAGTGGGTGGCTTTTGCTTTTTCAAATGAAACTATATTGTTCAAATACATAATAATATTCATAATGTAAACTTCTCATTCCAAGCTATATCATGTAGCTTGTGATATTTTTCAGAAAATGTAAATCATATCAATCCAAAATGAAAATGAGTACCAGGAAATAGTTTGTGAAGTAAAGGTGGCTGACCTCTTGTTGACCCCATCATCCATCAATTGCCAATTGTTTTGTAAAACTGTGTGGGTGTAGCACCATATATCCAACCCACAAGTGGTGTCAAAAAGCTCCCTAATTTCCTTCACAGTTTACTTATTTGTTAAGTATGTTCTAGTATGATTGAGATAGCGGTGTGTGATCCGTTTCTGGTAGCTCGAGGTCAGATAGTATCTGAGTGAAATTGCCTATGATGCTGTCAATTTAAAGATTGGGTTGTTTCAAAGTAGCGCTAATTATAATTGTGTTTGTAAGGCTTTTTGTCTTTGTATGCTGTACGTTTTAAAGGTATTTTTAGAGCATCCCTACACATTTGTGAAGATTTTTATGTATTAAATTGTTTATTAATATAATAATCCAGGAATATTAATCTGATCAGTGCATCACTAAATGAGTTGGATATCTCAGCCAAAAGATCAAATGTTGCAGGTTTGCTGGTAACACATCAAATGCTATTATATGTTTTTGAGGTGGGTGGAGTCCCCATGGCGCAGCGGCTTGACGCTCGTGTGGGGATCAGAAGGTCATGGGTTTGCTTCCTGGCAGAGCCAGGCTTTTTTCAAAAATGAACTTGACTCCCAGGTTGACCCAGCTTTTAGTGGGTACCAGATGCAATCCTGGCAAGTAAAGGATGAGTTCCTTAGTTTTTGTATTTTCATGCCGTCCATTTTTGTATTATTATTCTGCAGGTCCTTTATTCTAATTGCAGATCCATTGTTGCTTTATTTTATTGCAGATCCCTAATTTTAATATAATGTGGTAAGTCCCTGATTTTAATAAATCCTAAAATGCAGGTGCCTCATCTTATGTAAAATTGCAGACCCTTTTTTGTAAATTAAATTTTATTGCAGATCCCTAATTCTAATATTGTTGTTTAAATCCTTTCTTCAGATATTCTGTGGCAAGTCCCCTCTATTTTAGTAATATATTGCAGATGCTTTATTTTAATATTATATTGGAGATTCCTACTTTTAACTCAGTAAAGCATTGTTAACTCGAGTTCGGCCTGGGAAGCAAAATAGCATATTGACTGTACCATTGAATGCTAAACAGTCTTAAAAAAATCTAGGATTAGCACCATATGCCCGCATCAATCCGGATTTCTAAAAATGTTTAAACAAAAATGTTAAAAAAAGGACTTTGGCATCTTAATTTTAGGGAAACAAACGAAATCAAGCCAGCAGTACAAGTCACCTGCACAAGGTATTGTGTATTTGAACCCTGCGGATGCAGTGTACCCATGATTCTTGTTGTCCAGTCTGACATCCGCTATGAAGTTATGCGACTGAAAGTGTTAATGTATGTGGATAATATGTTTCATTGAACAATATATCATCTGTTTTGTTGTTGTTTGTTCTAAAGCCCTGGTGATTCATACTGCTCAGTGTACATATACATAATGTAACAATCATATGTCCTTATCAAGTATTCATTTGTTCATATAATGTGGGCAAGTCAGATTATTTTTAGATGTATCGGGTATGTTTAAGGGAGTTGCCGTGGTCTAGCGGCTAAACGTTCGCCTGTGGATCGGAAGGTCATGGGTTCGCTCCCCAGCAGAGCCAGACTTTTAAAAAAAATGACCTTGGCTCCCAGGTCAGCCCAGCCTTGAGTGGGTACCAGGTGCAGTCCTGGGAAGTAAAGGCGGCTGGCTTGATGCTGACCACATCACCCATCTTGTGTCGATTGGTCTATAAAATATAGGTCTAGCCCTATATACCCAGTACGCCTGAAAGGCGTGGAAAAGGGTCATTTTCTCTTTAGATATGTTTAAGACACTGTAGATTTTACTAGAGTCAGTTTTATTGTACAGTTCTCAGTCTTGCAACTTTAGAAAATAGTGCAATTCTGAATACCTACTACAACTTTTAATGAAAATTTTAAGGTCTTTTCCAATTCAGTTATAAAACGGCAAATTTAGATTCTTACATTTATTTTGTGGTCCATTATTCTAACATTATATTAGGGGCGCTGCATGGTCTCGAGGGATGTTGTCATCCTTGAGTGCTAGATGTTCCGGGTTCGATCCCGGTAAGGGCTGGTATTTTTTCACGTAGACTTAGACTTCTAGTAATTCCACCTGGTCTCTGGATAGTGAGGTCGATGCCTGTGTGCATTGTTGCACACGTAATAAATCCCTTGGCAGTTAGAAATTGAAAAGAGTAGCCCAACGGTGTTGCCGGGCAAAATTTGGAATAAAAAATCGACCCAAAGTATTTCAGGATCCTCGCTGGTGCTGCAGAGCCTGTGCATCACTGTGCTGAGCTTCTTCGGACTCAGGTTTGAGTTAGAAGAAGAACGGAGCACTAATGGGTTACTGCCCTTGTGCCAAAATGTTGGTCTGTTGTTCAAACCTCAAACTCTTAACATTATATTACAGGTCTCTATCTTGACATTAAATGTCAACAAGCATCTCACCAAGCAGAAAAATGCTGGTTTGAATACCAACTGCAGCTTCTTATGAAATTTTTAAAATCTTTTAATACAAGTTTAAAATGGCAAATGATTATATTTATATGTATTTGTTGTGGTCCCTTGTTCTAACATTACAGGTCACTTATTTTTATATAAAATCTCAGCAAGCAGAGAAGTGGAGCTTGCTTTCTAAGAGCTGCTTTGGTCAATTCTGCCACATCTGCTTATATACCTTTCATACATTTATAATAAAATCATAAGACAAGTTTCATTTCGAAACTCTTCCAACAATGTCATTGTTGTAGAACATTATGCACAGAACTTGAATACAGTTTTTAGGGAATTATAAATCTTCTTTATTTGTTTGTTGTTGTCTGTTGTTTGGAGCAGTGAATGTACAGAGTTATCCAGCTGTAAACTGGCAGAAATTCTGGTTGTTCGTCCAACTCCGGACTTAAGTCTTGTTCCAGAACCTGAGTGTTGTGTGCACATCTGTTTGACAGATCTGACTTATCTGTAGGCAGACTGTAGGTTCCATGCTTCTCTAGGGAAATGTTGTTTGTCCACTTCTGGGCTTTCAGCTGCTGTAAACTCTAGGGAAATGTTGTTTGTCCACTTCTGGGCTTTCAGCAGCTGTAAACTCCAGGGAAATGTTGTTTGTCCACTTTTGGACTTTGGTCTTGTTCCAAAACTTGAGTTACCTGCGCAGATGCATTCCGACCTTGGAAGGAAGCTTCCATAATCAATCACTTTGTAATACATGCTTGTTAGTGAGGCAGTGGCTCTATTCTCTTTCACCCCAGCTGGTGCCATAAACCAACTTGGGAAAGGGGGGGGGGGTCCAGCCAGTCATGAACAAGTTTACAAAGGAATTAGTCTGTGATGACTGAGGGTCTTTGCTCCATTGACAAATAAAAGCAAGAAAAAAGAAGTGAAGTCTTGCTTTTCTGCGGTTAGATTAAAAGTAGAGATGATCCACTTCTTTGCACCTTGTTTTGTCCAATTTAACCTGGTCTTTCCTGCAGAATGACTAGCCACCTGCAGAGAGTATCACACAAAGCACAAACCATGTCGCTCCAGTGATGATCTCCACGGCTCTAAAAGATTCTACACTCGTGAACTGAATGATGCAGTCCATTGTGTCACATAAAATTATAAAAAGCACATACACTATCATGCCAAGACTAATAAATTGTTGTGTTATCTATAATAATTTACGCTTTTATTAATAATTGGAAGAAAAAGCAACAACAATGAGACAAAGCCTCAAAACTATGAAAACCTTCAATGACGTCTAAAATGATACATCCAGACACAACACAGAATTGCTAATTCAGAAGTGTAAAGTAAAGATCCCTTTTCACACTTCTAGGCGTATTCCGCATATGTGAAGAGCACCCATATTCTAACAGATCATCGCGGCACTAGGTGAGTAATGTGGTCAGCAATACGCCGTCAATCTTTACTTCCCAAGGACAGCCATCCTGATACCCATTTTAGGCTGGGTCGACCTGCGAAGCCCCACACCATGATCAAATTCAGAAATGTGAATTTTGATAAAAACTGATCCTGCACGTGCCGAGCCGCCATTTTGAAGGATGGGAGGGAGAAGGTCCTCTGTTCCCCTGACAAGCACATTGAAAAAGGTGACTACAGTGCAGATCGCTTATGGCGATTTCAGATGTAGCGAATTAAATTTTTTAAGAACAGTTTGTTTATACCCGCCATTTGTTTCTCTTCCTTGAACTCTTATATGGATTTCTTGGGTCCCCACTGAGTTTTCCTCATCAGGTCTGCACTGTGAGTTTGCTGAAATCAGATATGTATGTTTGGCCGAAAGGTCATATATCACAGGGTAACTGTAAGCCGCAAAGTGCCAACAGCAGAAGAGGTAGAAAATAAAGACTCATAGATGTGTTAGATCTTGTTATGAGAAAAAGATTTGCATCTATTGTTAGGTACTTGTCAGAATATAGTACAAGTGTGTGGGTGTATATTCAGTGTACATGTGTGGAGCATAGTCTGGATCTGTTGGTACAAGTATGTGTGGTATACCCTGGACCTGTTGGTACAAGTATGTGTGGTATACCCTGGATCTGTTGGTACAAGTATGTGTGGTATACCCTGGATCTCTTGGTACAAGTATGTGTGGTATACCCTGGATCTCTTGGTACAAGTATGTGTGGTATACCCTGGAACTGTGGGTACAAGTATGTGTGGTATACCTTGGATCTGTTGGTACAAGTATGTGTGGTATAACCTGGAACAGTTGGCACAAATGTATATGGTATATCCTGGATCTGTTGGTACAAATATGGTATATCCTGGATCTGTTGATACAAATGTGGTATATCCTGGATCTGTTGGTACAGGTATGTGTGGTTACCCTGGATCTGTTGGCACAAATGTGTGTGGTATAACCTGGATCTGTTGGCACAAATGTGTATGTGGTATACCCTGGATCTGTTGGCACAAATGTGTGTGGTATACCCTGGATCTTTGGCACAAAAGTGTGTGGTATACCCTGGATTTCTTGTTACAAGTATGTGTGGTATACCCTGGATCTGTTGGTACAAGTATGTATGGTATACCCTGGATCTGTTGGTACAAATATGGTATATCCTGGATCTGTTGGTACAAATATGGTATATCTGTGATCTGTTGGTACAAGAGTGTGGGGTGCAGCATAATCTGTTCGTACTGGAGTGTGTGGTGTAGCCTGGATTTTTTTGGTACAAGAGTGGGGTGTAGCATGGATCTGTTGGTACAAGAGTGTTGGATATAGCCACAGTCTGGTGGTATAAGGATGTTGGATGTAGCCTAATTTTGTGGGTACAAGAGTGTGACAGGTCTTAGCTGTACAAATCTGCAGGTGTAGCCTGGATCTGTTGGTACAAGAATGTGGGGTGTAGCCTGGACGTGTTGTGGTACAAGAGTGTGGGGTGTAGCCTGGATATTAAGGTATACAAATGTGAGGTGTAGCCTGGATGTGTTGTGGTACAAGAGTGTGGGTTGTAGCCTGGATATTAAGGTATAAGAATGGGGGGTGTAGCCTGGATATTAAGGTATAAGAATGTGTGGTGTAGCCTGGATATAAGGGTATAAGAATTGGGGGTGTAGCCTGGATATTAAGGTATAAGAATGGGGGGTGTAGTCTGGATGTGTTGTGGTACAAGAGTGTGGGGTGAAGCCTGGATATTAAAGTATAAGAATGTGGGGTGTAGCCTGGGTGTGTTGTGGTATGAGAATGTGGGGTGTAGCCTGGATGTGTTGTGGTACAAGAGTGTAGGGTGTAGCCTGGATCTTTTGGTACAAGAATGTGGGGTATAGCCTGGATCTGTGGATACAAAAATGTGAAGTGTAGCCTAATTCTGTCAGTACAAGAGTGTGGCAAGGTCTTAGCTGTACATATCTGCAGGTGTAGCTTCCAGGCTGTGTGTACTGTGCTTACTGCA